CGAGAGTGATGGATTGCATTTACCTGTCTGTTTTGCTGTCCGTACTGGAAAAATGCGGTAGGAGAGAGATAAGGGATTTTCATAAACATGCAAAATTCAAAGGAGATCTTCTTGCATGCAATGTGGAAGGGAGCTCGGCGGAGAGATGGGCGTGCCAGCACTGGAAAGGAGTTTCTAACAGCTTGTTAACGCAGACCAACTACGGAAAAAACAGTATTATATCTCCTCTCTTATTGATGTGGTTGGATTTCTGGTGGAAAACCAGCGTGCCTTTACGGAGGGGAAGATAGAGGTTTTGATAACATGCAGAGGGGGGCAGTGGCCTTTCCTCTCCCTGGCTGACTATAAGATAGAAAAACACCCACCCCGAATTGGCTGATGTAGTGAATCAATCCCTCTAAAAACGCCACTTACAACTAGTCACAAAATGCAAAAATTAATCCATAAGTATCACTCAGGCAATGTGATGACTGAGGCTATTAGTGTTAGGAAATAGGAGACCCTTTTACCCACACTGGAAAATAGATGTGAACCTGTGGACCCCATGGGTGTGAAAACATTGTCGATTGTCATTCGATTTGGTAAAATGAGGACAAATGATCGTCACAGAGCGTGCCTGCTGATCATATTCGACAGCTGACCAAAGGTGATGCACAACTTAACGGACACAAGCGTGGCAGAGCTCAACAAAGTTGGACTGGACCACATCAAAGTATTTACTAAGCCAGGTATTTGTATGGGCTGCTCTGAATGTCTGGGAAACATGGTGGCTCCAAGAACTCCTGCAAACAAACTTAGGTCGTGAGTATTCCTTATTGTACACTGTTTGAACGCACCAGCTACACTAGATTGTAGTTACAATGCTATGTCAGCAGAGATCAGCTTTAGGTGGATTTCTTTCATGTGTGCAATGCGCGCGCCTCTACTAAGTTATGCAAGAAGCCACAGTTGCTGTGCATTACAAGGGTGTGGCACCTTAAACGCCGCTTCTGGGAACAGAGAGGGACAGGACATCTGTTTCCACTGTGTCTGTAATTATAAAATCCTTCAACGACAAAAATCCCTTTTGAAACTGGACATTATTCCGTGATGGCCCACGCGCAGAGATGAACCGAATGAGAAGCAACAGGCCTGCTGCGTGAGATGACCTGAGCCCAATTTCCAGTCATTGCTCAGTTTAGCGCAGCGAGGCAGTTATTGCCCTGCTGAGACCACCAAGACAAGATTTTTACAGACGGAGGAATACTGACTTCGATGGACGTTAAGTTCTCGACAGGCTTAAGCAGCAGCTTGTGTACGCAATCTCCGTTGTGGTGCGGAGTTTAACAAAGTGTGGGACAAAGGCTGCCAGCGCTACTCCGAGACCCGAAGTGTCCAAACGGAGATGCAGAGACAACCCGACTATGGATGGGTATGTAGTCGAGGGAACTACAGGACACAGGGATGATGACAAAACAGAACTTCAGAGACTGTACTACAGCACGATTGATTCAGTGCTTGGAGAAATGGATCAGAGATTCAGCGAGCGCAACTCGCAGCTGGCCAAATCACTTGCTGCGCTGAATCCAGAAAGCGAAACATTCCTTGATGCAAAGGCTGTGAAGCACATTATGGACCTGTCGGGATCGCCTTTAATTGAGGCAGAGTACGAAGTTGCAAAACAGTTTTTCAGCATGCAAAAACAGTCACAGCCAATCGAGGGGGATTGGACTATACAGCACATCCTCTCCAATTACCACACGCACCTTAAGGCAATGCCAAGCGTAATGACTGCTTTCAAACATGCCAAAACATTTGGCGCCTCCACAGCAATGTGCGAGAATTCATTCTCCACTCTAAGGAACGTTTTTTCGGACCATTGACGTGCAATGCTCCACAAAACAAAGGCCCAGCTGGTTCAACTTGCGTTTGAGAGAGACTTAACAAGAAAAGGCACAACAGAATGGAAGAACACCATTCTCTTGAGGTTCAGCACCAGCACCCGCCGCTTGCAACTCTTCTAAAGGTTAGACATGCTTTTCATTTACTTAATGATGCCAGCCCTGGCTATGTTGATGTTGAAAGATTTTGGGGTCTGTCTGCATTTATGCATGAAGAGTAGAGTATAGTCTTTTTTAAATAGCCTGTTTTCGCTTTCACCTATGCTTAATGACGCATGCGGTGCGCACAGCGCTGTGTGTGTGTGTGTGTGAGAGAGAGACTTGGCTTAATGACGCGCGCAGTACGCACAGTACTGTGTGTTTGAGAGAGGGAGAGAGTGCACAATGCAATGTGTGTGAAAGACAAGAGACTTTGCAACATGTTTTGAAATTGAAGTTGCGTTGGTGTTTGTGTGTTGGTTGTTAACGGCAGTGTGTGCCCCCCCATTCGATTTGTTCTGGAGCCGACCCTGAGGACAGGGTTTGAGGGAAAGAAATACATAATGCGAACGTGAAATCAATAAAGTATGCTCTCAAATTTAAAGACCACGCTCTTGAATAAAGATAGGGAATAACCCCCATAGTAGACCACTGTCCTCCTTCATCTGTGCGCGCCCGTGAGACGTTCTACGATGTGTTTGCTCCCGCGCTTCCACTATGAGTTCGGTCCAATTCACATTTGACGTTGCCTGATTACGTTAATTACTACGTAACTGATTACTATAATTCTAAGTTTTTTTAAAGCGAAACACATGTTTGCTCTTATTTTATTATTTAGTTGTTAGTTTTGATAATCAAAGAAACATTTTTTGGAAACTATATTTTCGCCCAGTCATTTTTTATCAAGGAATGGGTGGGCCCAGTGACAGAGTGGGTGGGCCTAGGCCCAGTAGGCCCACCCATAACAAAGCGGCTGGAACGCAGCACGCTTGAAATTTGCCTTACATTCTTTTTTAAAACTGCCATAATTCCCAAACCCTACACTCCTTGAACATAATTTTTCATGAAAAACGTAGGAAAACCTCTGCTACCTTGAAAATAACTAAAAATTAAGAAAAAAAATGACTCTTCCAGTTTAACATTTCACTTTCAAGTTTTTAACAAAGTCATTGCAATGCATTTGAGCTGTAACAATTTTGATTAAAATCATTTAACTTTTCTGTATTTTC